TGAAATGAAATGAAATGATGATGATGATGAGACGACATGGAGTTTGTAAAATTTTAAAAATTAATTTTATTTTTAATTTCAGTTACGCGTTTGCGGTGAATGTTTTGTAAAAGTTGCAATACACACGAGACAAGTTGTTAACATAGGAAAACCTCTGTTGGAAAAGTTTGTTTAGCTTGTGAAAATGTTATTTCAACTGCACCCGAAATACATAACCAACACAATAATTATCATCAATGCTGTACTTAACATGATTATCTGCAACATTATCAACAATAGTTTTTGTTTCGAAGTGTTTTCTCAAGAATAGTTTTGCATTGTTGCCAACAGATAGAAACGTTTGTGGCCATCAAGTGCACTAATACTTGGTTGGTTCACTCAAACCAACCAAGTCAGCGCCAAGCAATGGACTTCTCCGCACACCAGATCAACTGACACTCTGCCAGTATCTACAAGTCTGCTTTTGCTTTGCGTTTTTGGTTTCATCAGATTCAGATACATGTTCAGATATCCACATTTGTACGTGTGTGCACTTGTATGTGTGAATGTGTATCGTGTGTTATTTGCATTTCCGCTTGGATGTGGCAGGACTCTTAAATGAAATTAAGTTTGAGATGGTCGCACATCGGAAGACAACATGTTTCTCAATTGCTGAAATTTTACCAATCCTTTTACGCGTTGTAGTTTTATTGGCATGTCTTTGTAGGTTTAATTTTTTGTTTTTATGAAATCCTTTGAGCACCTTTGGCTACTTTTTACAACTATGCCCTTTCATATGTTTGCAACTATTTTCGTAGAACTGCAGTTGGTTTGTTCTTTTCTGCAATTTTATTAAGTTATTTTAAGTTGCATCTTTCGCACAAAATATCTCGAAGTTTTCAATTGTTCTACTGTTTTTGTGGCTTTGAGGTAAAGTCAGAAATATTTTGTAAAATAGAACTTAACACCAAAAGCATGTGAATTTTGAAGCTATTCATACATAAACAGCTCAATATATTAAGTTAAGAACAATAATTGCTATAGATTGGCGCTTCAAACATAGTACTCTTACCTTAAACTGGATTTATCTAGCGAAGTATAAAAGTCCTGAATAACAATTGACAGCTATATTGGCTCTGTAAAGAGTAGAAGCACCACAATTCACGGATATGTTGGCTCTGTAAAAAGTAGAAGTACCATAAGTTGGAAAAAATAATTTGAAATGTTACTACTAATTACCTGAACTCCTTCGGGAACATATGGCCTACAATTTGAAATGGTAACTAGCCCTGAAAAATGTTAATAATGTACTGATAATTTCTACCAGAATATCCTTAATGGAATTTATTTCAAAACACCTGTTTTAATAAATAGAAAATTATTTTACATCAAGAGAAAATAAAATCTATATTCATCAAACGTTAAACTCAAAATTAACCACAGCAACATTAAATAGAATGGGTCTGATACTGGACAACCTCATGCACACTAAAGAGAAAACATGCGTAGCATATTAGCTAGCACTACGTTCATTAGTGCAATCCAAACAGCCAAGTTTTCAAAAGCGAATGCTATTGTGGAAACACAAGTGAAACAATCATCTGCAAATTTCAAACCTGCTAAAACAAAGCATACCCGGAAAAAAGTTAATGTTCCGGGGTACATCAGAAATACGGATCTTCACAAAGACTTTTAGTTTTGGCAATAGAAACTTGAGACAAATTTTAAGAATTTGGTGGCCTAGAACAATCAGCAACGAACGACTGTGGGCTATAACAGATATATAAAAGCCAGTTGATAAACAAATCTTAAAAAGAAAGTAATGGTGGTTAAGCGACACTCTACGCAAACCGTTTAGCGAAATCGCGCATGCCGCTCTAGAATAGAATCCGCAAGGAAGAAAAAATTACGGTTGATCAAAGACCACATGAAGAAGGGCAATCCACAGAGAATCGCCCAAATCTTCCAGTGAAGAGCTATAGTGCGTGATAGAAATAGTTGCAAATCTTTTGTGATTAGACTAAGTTCTTGACTTTATATTTTTGAACACGTCAATAATAATAATACAAAGACTTTAAGTACATAAAAGACAAATAACGTAAACTCTTCAATAAAATAGATAGTATTCCAATTCAACACTAAACCTGCAAAATATTCGTTCAAACCCATCAATCGTATAAAGATATGCAGAACTAACAGTGCTATGAAATTAATTAAACGCTTCACCCATAAAAACAATGAAATCAACTCATACACCTCGTTTTAGACTCACAGATCCATCCGCAAAATAGAGTAAAAGTACCGATTGGCACCAATTTGAATAAATAATAAAATAAAATTGAAGGGGCTTATCGTTAGTCTCCGGATAAGGACCACTTTTGATTACTTCAGGCAAACCATATTATAAAAATCGTAACTCAAACTAAGTTTATTGGTCCAATGTGCAAAATCGAGAACGACCACGTAAATAGGGTGGAACTAACTCAACAATATTATAATAGTATAAAAGTATCTATTATATTAATACAAAAAAAAAAACATATAAATATGAATATAGTTTGGAAAAATCTTATACATACCATTTGCCATCACTTTTTAATTTAATGGGTGCTTTCTTGACTTTAATTGAATTATTGGATTGCACAAAAAATACCTCAGCACTGAAACTGTCTACAACGGCCAAATTCTATTTTACTCATTTACACATCATTTTCAACATATGGAAGAATGACATAATTAATTTGTTGACCTCAAGTAGACCAACACGGAAAAGGTGATCGTATATATCAATCTCCTTGCTGCTGATACAGATATTACCACCAATGCAGCTTACGCAATGTACTATCAGTTGAAGACGTCTTAATAAAGAATTGAATTTGCAATTATCTTATAGGTAGCGCTTTTTTTGTTGATTTCAAGGAAAAACTATTCTATACTAAAACCAGACAGTATTTTTTCACAGATTCTTTTCAAGCTCAATATGTTCAAGTTGTCGGACCCTAATGAGTTACTCAGAGTTGTAATGTATGCTAATGATTGCATGATTCTATCAACTAGGCAGGATCCTGGTGTACAGTATAAAACAATAAATGTATACCTCTACAAGTAACTAAATATTTCAGAGATAAAAAATTCACCTCTTCTGCAACAAATTCTCAACTAACCTAATTATTTGCTGAACAAGAAGGCATCCCTGACTCTTCCCATTTCAATCGGTGAAAGCGGCTATTGTATGCGGTCAATTAAACAATCGTAATAACATACTGCAGAGACTGGGAGCTGTTATCGGGGTAAAGGTAAGGAAACCTACCGACATACTAAACATGTTTCTCTTGCGGGTAAAGGGTTAGAATATTCGCGGGGTAAGGCATGCCTGACATAAGAGGTGAATGGTAGTGAGGTGTAAATCGGGAGTCAGATGCCCGCACCTTAGTTTGTCCTGACCATCTGCGGTTAACAGTGTCATGGTGGCTGTGTTTAATATCCAAACATACGAGAGAATAATGATTGTATTTTTCTTTCATTCGGTGTAGAGTTGCGTATTCACACCATATGTTGTGATCCAAAGATCGCCAGATCGCTTTTTTGTATCAAAAATGCATTGACCCCTTCCGTAATACATATATATAATATTATTAAGATCGACTAAAGGTTATAGCTTTTTGACTTTCATATCAAAGCAGTATTCTCTTTGAAACCACAATCTATCAAAAAGGTTCTTAAAAGGATATAGTTATGTGCTTCACAGTTACTTGTCATACATAAATAAATCCATCTGATTTGTTGCCAAACTCACACTCGAATTTAAGATCTACTCAGGGTTCAGTCAAGGAGAAGTGGATATAGGGTGGGTGGGAATTCAATTGAAATCTCTCTCTCAACTCGTGTCCAGACGGAAAAACCTAGCCACTTCAAGAGGGTGGTTCCAAAGGTCAATTGGAAGGTTTGTGTGAAAAGGGGCAAAGAGCATTTAAGTAATCTTGCTTAAATATATCTGATGCATATTTTAGATATGTTTTTATTTTTTCGAATATGTTTTATTTACTAGTAGTCTTAGAATAATATGCTCATTATAATCTTGGTATGTAGTAAATAATATTTTAAAAATATGACAATTTTCTATGAAATCATAAATTATATTTCAATTTTTATTAAATATAATTTGGATTTACTTAAACTTGAATTCAAAATGACCCCAGACTATTATGCCATGCATGATTTCAGGATTATACAAATTAAAATTAATTTGTAGGTTTTGATTATAAACAACTGGTATTGCTAAGGATTAAGTAGTAATATACATGTCATCTTAAAATCAATTAATTGAGCTTACTTAGGTGATAATAAACTATATAATAATAATAGCCATATTAACAATTTATTAACATTTAACTTTCTAACTATATTTATAATGCTGTATTTACAGTCAACAGATTTGCGGTAAGAAGTTAGGTTACATACTATAGAAAAAAAAACCAAACAATATTTAGAAATAATACATTATTTTAATCAGCTAAATAGTTAATATATAGTAATTATAAACTGTAAACTACAATTTTATATATACACTTTTTATTTAATTATATATATATACAACTTTTATTTTATTATAGATAACATATACAATTCATATTTTTTTATATATATACAAATTATATTTTATTATGTATATATGTACAAATTATATTTTATTTTATGTGTACAATTATATACAATGATAACTATTTATTAATATGTGTTATTGTTTAAAGTATTTTTTTAATGTACAACACATGATAATTCAAGCAATTTAATTTAATTATATTTGCAAAATAATTTTCATAATATAACAATCAATCTCGAAAACTATTAAAATCAAACTACAAGAAATATTTTATACTTTATAAATTATTAAAATAATTAATCATTTTTTCTAAATTATATTTGTTACAATTGTTACTAAGAATTTACAAATTATTTTTATTATTATTATTATTATTATTTTTGCTTAATATATTTCAATATGTTATTTAAACCTTTGTCAATATTAAAAGCATACGATTTTTTAAATGTGTATAGCTTAGTTTTCTAAAATCTTATAGTTTAATCTTGGATTTGTACTTTTTAATTCTAAATTAAATTACGTTTACTTTGATAAACGAATACTAAGTACAATGCATTTAATTACAATTATTTTTTCTAGATGAAGGTGTTGATATTTTAGGCACGTCTTTGGATTCCCCCAGCGTCTAAAATAACTTTTTATTAAAAAGTTTTATATATAAATTATTAAATTTATATTAAATTTAAATATATAACTTTATTTAATTTTTACGTCCATATTTTAGTCAACACTCTCTAGATGAAGTTTCTCTTCGTTTCCTATTATCATTAAGGCCATCTTAATTTGTGCACGTTTTATTACAGTTTGTTTCCGTATGAAATCGCTGTTCTTAGTTAATATATTAATTTTTTGCTCGGCAAAATATTTTGCTTCTTCCAAGCTTAATTCCAGAAAAATGCCTGCACCTACATTAACAAGTATTTTATCTGTTGGATTCGTTTTAGCTTGCATAAAAATATTTCCACGAATATTATATTGAGTTTTAAAACCAACAGCTATCTCGTCTTTCATTGCTGCAAGGGTATTTTTTAATTGAAAATATTCTTCTAATTCTCCATTAGTCCTATTTAATAGCTCATCCATTTGCCGTAGCTCTTCCTTTAGGCATTCGTTTATTATTTCTTCTAATTTTGCAACATCTACACCAGTCATGTTTACTGTAAGTTCTTTAACATTATATGTTTTACCAGACTATAATAGATATAATTTATTTTGTACTTACAGTCCAATAAAGGAAACCAAACAAACTTTAACTAACCGGCTATACAATTTAAGAAATGGTTTGTGAAGCTGCCATTGACATTTGTTAGGAAAGAAAAATTCACTACCAGTTGGCGCTTTTCTGTATTATAGTGCTGCCTATTCGTAAAAAATTCCAAAACATTAAAAATGACATTTGAAGGAGCGAATTTAAAGTTAACATAATTTCGATGACAAGAAAATAATAAGAAATGGTTTTCACTATGTAGATTTAAATTATTACTAAATTATGTATTCATATAATTAATTTTACCATTAAATCAAAGTAAAAAATTGTAATAATTACAATATATGAATAGCACAAATTAACCCATTCTCTATTTATTTAGTGAATCAGTAAAACTTTATTGAAAATAGCTATTTTAAGTACGTAAATAAATGAGTTATTTAAATTTAATTACCCTTTCACAAATTCCTTATTCATTTAATGTCAAACACACAAGAATATAAATTCGTAATATTCGTATATAGGCTATATAGGCCTTGTTTCATATTACATGTATAAGTTACAATGTTATACCTCGCTATATATTAAATTATTTTGTAACTTTTAATTAAAACTTGTCTTTCTTATGCGAATATTTTATTAAACAAAATATTTTGTTCGAAATTCATGCGAAATTGAGAGGTGTGTGTTGTTTTCACGTAAATTAATGTAAATTAAAATTAATGTAAACAAATTTGAAAACATATACTACTTTTAGGAAGTGGATTGGGATTTGCTAATAACTTGAAGAATAAAAATCATGCTCCCAAATTTGTTATTAAATAAATCGATAACGAATTTTCCGCTAAATATATTTCGTCTTCACTACCGATTGTTCTTAAAAGAAATAAAACAGAACTGTCAATTCGTAAGCAATATAACCCCAACATGCGATGTATTCGCATGAGAAAACATATGTACGAATACGCAAGACAACATTTGCATGCAATGTAACCTCAGCCTAACAGTACCAAGAACAGACAATGTCGAGACTATCAAAAAACAATCTAAACTTAATAGAATGTAAATATGTCTTGGTACTTTTTGGTTGTGCCTAAATTTAAAAGGATATGTAAATATGCTCATTTCAATTTGTCACCAAATATAACCAGCAGAAAAAAAACTCATAAAAACTGTAATAATGTTAATTTATTATTATATTATCTTATAATAATTTCTAACAGTACTTACGCCTTTTCTTAAAATCAGAAAGTGTAGTAATTAGATTATTAGAGGTTTATAAAAAAAGGCTATGTTGCTAACGCCATTTTTTTTCCAAAACGTATTAAAATTGTAGAAATTTGCTCCTAAAAGGCGCAAATTCTGTAATTTATTACTAAACAACACTGTTTTGAACGGCCATATTGTTTTTTCTCTCATTCTCAAATTTAAAATTTGCATTGAAAACAACAATTGTACTCATGTCGTGTCCGAGACACGGCATAATATGGCGCTTATTGCGTTGGTAACACTTTTTTTTACTGTCCGATGTGCCGCGCTACAGAAAATAGTGTTGTTGTCTTGCGTACATTTCGGCCAGTATAGGCCATCATAGGCCAGAAACTTGCTGTTTTTTGCAGTAGTTGCGAGCCACCGAAAAAGCCTGTTGTTGTTTTGCGTACATTTTAGCCAGTATAGGTCAGTTTTTTGCCTAGAATACATATCTGCACATATTTTTTTTCTATTATATACAGAATAGTTAATAACAAAATTTTGTTAGAATTGTGTACTGTAGATTGCCTTGATAGCGCAACTCAAGTGTACTAAAATTACGAAACTCAGAATCTGATTTAAAATCCCACTAAAATCTTGTTCAAAACTATGGTTAATAAGATTCTTTTAGTAGTACTTGGTGGCTCTGCTTCAGATATATAACTCCTAACAAAATACCTTTTACAAAATCTACACGAAAATTCACAAAAGTTTTATTTGTATCATTGGGGACTAATAGATCTATGGGTGACTTTCTGCCAACCAGAATAACTTCACTGAACTTATACTTTAGTATAGAATGCCGTAATTGTTAAGGACTTTCGCAAATGTACTCTGACTAAACTTTAGAAAGATTTTTATATTCGTATAGAAATATGTTTTATGATATAGACGACGCTACATGTATGCAAACAAATTATGCCATGCTACCAAATGCACTGTATATATTCAAGCATGCTTACTAAATTTCGGTCTGTAGACATGTATGCGGTAAAATTACACCTTGTTTCAAAGTGTATAGCAAAGCTCATACTTGGTCTGCATATTTGATATGCATACATATAGCATCGTCTCAGTGGCGTAACTACAGGGAAGCAACTGGAAGCAACGCTTTCGGGCCCCCGAATTCAGGGGGCCCCACCATAAATTCTTGTATTCATTGTATTTATTTTTAATAAATTCTCAAAAGTGGGACGAAACGTTTTTTGTTGGAATAACTTCATATTGCATTTTATAAAAGATACGTAAATTTTAAATTTAAATTACATAATATGTATGTACTTCAAATAAAATATTAAACCTATTTATAAAATAAAAAAGTTTTTCTAAGAAAAATATGTGTCTTAATCGAGAGACTTATATGGAAGCTATATCTAGATTTAAACCCATTTGAAAATAATTTTGTACATTGTCTTTTGCAAATATCAGTACTGTATACACCAAATTTCATTTGAATACCTTTATTAAAAACGGAGAAACCTCATATCTGATTGTTAAGTTTATATCACAGCTACAAGAAATAGACGTCCAATTTCAATCAAATCAAATGGTGAACAGGGTCGGCTCCCGAAAAGTATTTGTGTAAAGTTTCATTCAAAGAGTTCAAAAGCTGAGAGAGTAGTTTGAACTGAAAAAGTATATATATATTGTACTGATATATACTTAATGGTATTTCCGACGTGTCCTTTAATGCGTTACGAAAATCTTGACTAACCTTATATATCCTTTTCACATTTTTTCGTGTAAAGAGTATAAAAAGAGGGGCCCCTTAGTATGTTGGTAGGGGCCCCTTAGTTAGAATTTGCTTACAAGCCTAAAAAATGTAGTTACGCCACTGCATCGTCTGTATCATGCTTTAGTGAAAAGTGGGAGTGTATGCAAAAATCTTGCCAAAGTTTGGCCAGTGTAGACATTGACGTAATCTAAACATTTCTTAAATAGAATATAAAAGATTTATTAATGTATCCTTATTTGAAAGCAGATAAAAGCCCCTGATTGTACAAAATTTAACTAAATTATACATTTCTTAAATTAACAAATACTTTGAGAAACCTGAGGTTTTGCGTAAAAATGATCAACATTTTTAAATCACAATAATATATACTTTCTTTCACTCCTTTGGTTATATATTGGAAAATAGTCCACGTAACTCATGACTTTTTTTTTGGCGGGCCAAAAAAACACCTATCGCAGTTAAAGCACTTTGAAAGGAAATATTTTATGTTAATTGCCTCCTACATATAGATTTTAAATTTAGTATTTTTACTATAACTAATTGAAGATTTATATTATTATAAGGCACAATAATGATAAAGTTTGGTGAATTATAAATATTTAAAAAAATTTTAATAATTTTAATAATATTTATTGCACGTTTTAATGCATATAAAGAAGCAAATTATGTTAATAGAGTGAGCTGTCATCCTAATTGGAGACTTAACTGTAAATAAAAACTAATTGACGTGCAAAATGCATCGAACTTATTTATGTAGAGAAATTGCAACTCTTTTTGCAACAATAACAAAAATTCCGTGACTCCCGTTCGCAGTGTATACAATAATTTCTCGATGTAAGTTTGTCAAAAACTTGTTGGGCAAATAAATTAGTTGTATTAAACTTTATTTAAATGAAATTAGAATTATAAGAAAAAAAATTTTTTTATTAGCTTAAATGTAATTTTCTTCAAAAAAGGAATAAAAGTTTTGAAAAAGGTTTGATAAAACATATAAATTTTTTTTGCCATTAAAAAAAGGTTGATTCATACATAGGTGTGAAGATATCAAATCAAAATGGACGATGAACCAAATTCTTTTTCCATTATATTAAGTCCTGAGGAACTACGTGCACGTAGATTGCGTGCATTGAATGTACATGACGCCAATTCATCTTACTTTGCTTCAATAACTGCACCTCATGAATTTGGCACTGAAGACGGTGAACTTAAAATTAAACGTGAAATAGAATTTTGTAATGCATCTATGAAGAGAACCAATTCTTCGAATGTTCAACGCAAAACCGATGGCAATAGTATGGATGCGAGTATGGATACGAGTACAGATGAATTAAATAGTTCGACAGAAAATTTATTTGATGAAGGTTCAACGGATAAGCAGTTTGAAGCAGTAGTATCGTATATATTCAATTCCTCTTGGAATGACGAAAGTAATGGGGTTATGATTTGCTTACAGACTGCTATGTTAGTTGAGACATATCCAGATTTGCGTTTTAAGTTTGAGATAATAATTCCAAGTGTTCTAATGGAATGCTTACAAAACGTACACGAAATAGAGGATATCGAAAACTGTGGCTTTTTGGGAGAACCACCAAATAAACGGAATAAAACAGATGTGGACTTAATGCACAATACTGAAATGGAACCAGATTTAGCCGCATTGGTCAGCCCTTTTCGCAAATCGTGCGATTCGATGTTGAAATACATAGCACTTCTCTACCTAAATAGTTGTTTTAGAAATTGTGAAAATGTAAAACGTCGACTTCAACTTCAGAGCTTACGCAAAAGTACTGAATATATACAAAGCGTAAAGAATATTTTGAATACTTCGTTAAGTAATATTGTGAACCTCGCTATAACAGTGTTATTAGATGGTCTATTTGAAAGAGAGGAGGATGATGAGGCCTGTTTGCTTGATTTAATGTACTTAGACAAGATATCAGACCAGTTCATAGATGCTATAATGCTTGAGTCCTATACCAATAAGAAAAATTTTGGACAAGTATTTTCATCTACGCTTGATGTTTTGTTTGAAGATATGCAGTACTTTGTCATTACCACTTTTGGCAATAGACAACCTATGGATATGTTGCGCAAATTGCTACATAAGCAAATCAATGAGAACCGCCCATTTTGCGAATTTTTGGTAGCACATCCAAGTTTTTTGCCGTCGTTATGTAGTGACGTTCCAGGGCGTGAAATTGTGCGCTGCAGCTATATGACGCCATTCTTATCAACGTCTGTTTCTGTTGAGTACACAGATGCTGTGACCGGTGGGGATAGTGAGATAATTAACAACGTGGATTTAATTAAAGAGAACATGTTAAATTTACGTTTCAATTTAAATTCTGCGCGTCATATAATGTCTTCGGTGTTTCTTTCATTACTTATGAATGTGAGCAGTCGCATGACCACTTTGAAGTATATGTCCGAGGTGTTGCGTTACAATGGAGATCGTTTGCAAATGGCTTATAATGAGAAAAATGTAGCTCGCGACGATATTATTATAAATTTAATGTGTGTGCTGCAGAATTTATCGCGTAAAGTGAAATTTGTATTGGTTGATGCAGCTTATCCATTTTATACGACCTCATTTATATTCCATGAAAATGACACTAAAATCAGGCTAACACAAGAAGAGTACAAAAAATTTATTGTTGAAAAGAAATACAATGAAGATATACCAAACAGTAATTTTACGACAAAATGTTGGTTTCTGACCTTACGAGCACACCACCTCGGCATAATTAGTGCTATGCAACGTTATCGCATTCAAGTCCGCAGCATTAGAGAGCTGCAGAAACTAATTGATCAAATAAATAAAACGGAACCACGTTGGAAAGGTACTGAAAATGAAGCAAGAAACGTACAATTACGCACCCATTGGACAAAACAAATTGAGAAGTTACATCACCTCAAAGTAGGCAGCGAAGTTTGTTTGCTTGATCCTGTGCTTTTGAAAGGTTGCATGGACTTTTATGCGACTGTGACTGAATATCTGTTGCATCAAATGGAAGGTCGTAAAATTGAGGGTTTCTTTTATCCTATGGTGTGTCCCACAATGCTACCAATCAATGAGCAATTTTGTGCACTGGCAGAATGGCTTATCGAAGACATTGCAGAATTCCTATTGTTTGTCAATGAATATGGACCGAAGTCAGTGCTTCAATTGTCCGACAACTCAATTATGATGTGGTTGTTATCATCAATTTGTGCTAATCACTTGATAAAAAATCCATATTTAACGGCAAAATTGATCGAAGTCGTTTTTGTTTACAGTTTGATATCGGGTAGTGAGTGGGTTGACAATTTCCTGTTGCATGAATTAACAAATACCGTACTGTTCAACTCACTCATGAAATTCTATGTCGATATTGAGACAACTGGCGAAAATACAGAGTTCTATGATAAGTTCAGCATACGCTATCATATAAGCCACTTGTTCAAAGCGATGTGGAGCATGCCAATGGTGCGCCAAGTAATGATAAGGGAATCCCAAACAGGTAGTCACTTTGTGAAGTTTATTAACATGTTGACAAATGATACAACGTTCTTGCTGGACGAGTGTCTTGAGAGTCTAAAGCGAATAAATCTAATGCAAACAAAAATAAGAGATCCATCATGGCATGCTTTAAGTGAAGATGAGAAACAGAGACACATCGCACATTTAAATGCTGACGAACGTCAATGTCGCTCATATTTAACATTAACTCGTCAAATAGTACAGATGTTCCACTATTTAACTGAATACATTAAAGAACCATTTATGCGCAATGAAATAGTTGACCGTTTGAGCTCAATGTTAAATTACAATCTCCATAAGTTATGTGGACCAAGGTGCAATGACCTCAAAGTTGAGAATCCCGCTCAATACGGTTGGGATCCACGTCATCTGTTGGGACAAATATTTGACATGTATCAGCATCTGCGTTGTAAGAGATTTGCTGAGGCATTGGCTGCCGATGAACGTTCATTCCAAAAACAGCTATTCGACAGTGCAGCAAATCGAGTTCAGCGCTTACATATTCGTACCATTATGGAGGTGGAACAATTTAGAGAACTTATTAACGAAGCAAATGAAATATATTTATTGAATAGAGCAGCTGATGATGCCAGTGCCAATGCGCCAGATGAATTTAAGGATCCTCTTATGGCTACACTTATGTCCGATCCAGTCACATTGCCATCCGGTACAGTAATGGATCGAACCATCATAACACGCCATTTATTAAACAGCAGTACAGATCCATTTAATCGTCAACCTCTCACAGAGGAAATGCTTGTGCCGAATGAAGATTTAAAGAAGAGAATTGAAGCTTGGCGCCAAGAGCAAAACCTTAAACAAACAGAGAATAAATGTAAATTAATCGATAAAGCCAGTTAAGCAAACTGGCCAAAAGTAAGTTTGTCAGTGTTCTGTGCAATTTGAATACAGCGGCATTGAGGTGAATTAAAAATTATTTTTGATATTCAAAAGTTTATAAACCCTCGATTTTAGCTTTAATTCTCAATTAAATACTTAGATCTATTATATATAAAATTTTTAATAAATATTGTAACTAAAATGGTGTTTAGATAATGGTAAAATTTTTCAATAAAAATAACACAGAAGCAACAAAAAGGCCTAGACACTATTAATCGCTTTAAAACATAGTAGAAAATGGATTTGATTTGTAAACAGCTCTGCGGTTGCAAAACAGACAACTCATAAATAAAGACTTCAGACGAATAATTTAATTATACCGAGAAAAAAAATGTGTAAACTATATTTAAAACATATTTTTAAGTTTTGTTGTTTAAATTCTACAATAAATATTTGCTATGTTATTTAAAACAAAATTCATTTTAAATAAAAATAATTTTATAAAACATATTTCTATAGTTTAGTGATACTTAAATAAAATCCATTGTTAATAAAAATAATTTTGTGAAACTGATATTTCCGTATGGAGGTTTTTTACCATTTTATCAAGTATATGTGTAAGAAAAATGTATAAATTTAATTATTTGAGGAGTGTTATTCTTCCTAATAACACTGCAAATGTATAAGTTAACCTCAGATCCTTTTGGCATCCAAAGTCTAGCACTAACATCCACTTCACGTGGAATAATAATTTTATATGGAATTTTATGTAAATTTTTCATTTGAAATGGCATTAGTCTTAATGATAAATAGATTTTATAAAGAACGGATTAATTACTGTTAGTACTCTGATGTCATTCTATACACTCATGATATATCATCTTTTTCAATATCCTGTTAATCCTTTCAGAATTCAAGTTATAAAAGTCACTACTAACAGACACATTAACATTAGATATTGGCTTGTATTTTTAGAGACAACCACCTCTTCATCAATATATGTATTTCTATACTATTATTAAAATATCAAGCAGATTTGCTACTCGTCCCGGAGCCACTCGTCAATCGCGACGACCAAGTGCCGTTCACCAACCCCAAAATATTGTACAACGAACAGTAGAATGCTCTCTTCATATGTATGTCAATCCTTTTCTTGGTATTATGTGTAAACAGCTGATAACAGCGCCAACATCATCTGTGAGGTTGACTATAAATAAAAACTTATTGGCCTCCCTTACCGAATCAATATATTTTTCAAAACAACGCTTGCATTGTGATAAAGTTCTCAACACTTCGCCAGAAAATTTAGGAATAAAAGATTCATTGTGCAATAAGAATCATCCTAGCCCAATTGAAGTTAGGAAATTGGGACGAGATAAATAGTTAATTGTCACGTATAAAAACGTCAGTGACGTCTACTCCAATCGTCTAAATATGTTCCCCAACTGCATGACGTATATTCTTCATAACATCGCCTATCTGATTTCTTCGAAATATACATAATTTTAGTCTTATTGTTTTAAGGATATTTTTCATAAAAGTGTCTACGTTCCTTCACCTCAACACAAGCAAGTTTCAATTAGCTATTTAGGGTATTTAGTGGAGTTTATCTTCATTATTAATAGCTGTTTAGAGTCAGTTATATTGACTCTCATTATTAATAATAAGTTGAATACAATTATTACTTAGGAAACCTTCATAGTGGAGGTTTATTCATTGGGAAAACCGGCTGACATAATAATTGTGGATATCTGCTATTACTTCTTCAGATTCTTAATATCGGTCATTATTTTTAACACTATATCTATAAGCATTGTTAAGTAAGAACTCTACTGCCTTAAATAAATGAAAGTGAAACTGACGTGCGTGCTGAACTTTTTAATCCAGCACAAGTCAACTTTTCGTCGAGCCTTCTTTTAGTCATAATCATAGTGCGAACAATATACTATAATTCCATTACTTTTTCCCTACACTGTTAATTAATTATGCATTAATTATAATAATTAATTATTTTCCAACACAAGTCCACTTTTCTTCGAGCCTTCACTTTTAGTCGTAATCATAGTGCGAACAATATACTATTATTCCATTACTTTTTCCTTACATTGTTAAATAATTATGCATACATTTTTTTGGTAAATCATTGAAATGTGTTAAATTTATCAGCGACAAACTATTTATTAATACAATTTATTGACAAACAAGATTCGACTTTGAATGTAATTTGTGCCGAGTGAAAAATTTCGCATTTTATTTCATATTAAAAAAGAAAAATAATGGTCGATATTTAATTATAAAAAAACTAATTTTAGTTAGCTAAGAAAGTTTCACGTAGTGTAGGAGTAAAATAAATAATAATTATAAGAATTTTTTATACGCCAGACATTATATTTTAATTAATTTTATTAGTTATAATGCAACAATTTATGATTTTACAAATGTATTAAAAAGTATAATAAATAAGTTTTTCTTGTAGCATTTTGAGGATGCAAATCTATTTTTAATTCAATTTTAACATGTTTAAGCCAAATTAGGGAGCGATTATATAAAAAGTATGCATTTTAATTAATTTACTTCTGTTTGCATTTTTTGTTTTTAATGTTAATGACGGTTTTCCCATTATTACAAGCTTTAAAAATTAATATTTTGAATTTTATTCAAAACACTTTATTTTCGTTGATTATGAGGATGAACTGGTGGAAGGTGTGGCAGCATTTTTAGCTTGGCGTTTCTTTACGCCCCAATTGTAGACACGAGCCATGTTTACTTCAGTTGTTGTTATTTGATCTCTGCAAAATTAAATCAAATTAATATATGCACAATGGCTTATATATATTTACATATAATATAGAAAGTACCTTAAGAAATCTTGATCATGTTCAACTGTTTTTAGGTTTGCAATAGCAGAGGTCATATTTTGTTTAAGTAGTAATTCGGCTTCTTCTAATGAATATTCTAACATAACATTAGCGCCCAACCAAAGACACACTGTTTTCGTTGGGGGTACAATTGTTTTAATGAATACTTGATCACTTAGCAGGAATTGTGTTTCACGTTCCTGATCCTCCTTTCGCAGCACGTCTATCATTTCCAAAGATCGTTGTAAGTCAGGTATTTGTGATTTTAGTTTGCGACGCCTCGCCTCCAAATTAAATGCCATAAACCTATACTTGCTATGCTGCTCATCGAGTCGTTGTAGTACTTTTTCACAATTTTCTTCATTGTCTGGCTGTGCCATGAACGAATCGATTTCCTCCTATTTAATATGTAAAATTCAATGAATTATAACTTATACATTCCACACACCCTGCTTTTCTCATATTTCTAAGGTTATGTCTGAGTAACTTTATGCTTAACTTACTAAAAACACTGCCTCTGGTATACCAGCAAAAGATTTCTGATTTTCTTTTAAATTCGGCATTTCTACTGTATCCATTATCCCAGTCATTTTATTTATTTTAATTTAAATGCCTTAAATTTACTATAATAAAAGCAGCAGTCAATCAATTTAAATGCCTTCCACACAACCTTATAAATATTAAAAAAAAAAATTAGTTTGTAGACATTATTTTTACAGCGAACTATGAACAGAACAAAAACGGATTGACTGTAATTGGAGAGAAAATATTATTTTGACAGTCATAGGTTGAATAAATCTAAAGTATACTGAAGTATTTATATATGATACAAAATTCGTTTTGAGTATATTATTTAATTTTATAATTTTATTATATTTCAAAATTAAAATAGTTGGACACCTTTACTAATAATAGTATTTTTTAGAGAACTATTCAGCGGCACCATTATTACTTGGGTTTTATTACATTTCTGCACAAATGTTTGTTATGGTGTTTTTGATCGGTAAATCTGCGTTTAATTTACTCTCGATATGTCAAATTTCCTTGACTTATCGGACATTTTTAGAGTAATCTGGCATTTTTGTAGTAGTGTAAGTAGACATTTATATTTTTCATAACACATATATTGAATCAAATCACATTTTTTTTGTCGTCATATAGAATAGCTGTTAATTTCAGGGTAATCTTGCTACTTTGGCAAAATATATAAAGTGTTATAAAATAATCTCGAATGTTATACATTTTGCTCGAGATTCACAAATCTCCCAGATTTACCAATCATAATCCTTACTGTAAACTATTTTTACTTGTAAAATTTAGGCAAGGCAATTAGTAAAATGTAAAGCTGTGTTATGGTCATCATATTATCACTATGATATTATCACTATGAAGAGTAATAGAAATTAAATATTGAAATTTCAAATGTTAAAATAAATATAGTATACGGGTATTGAGGGTGTCTGTGCATCGTTGAATGTGCATCATTGCAAACTCAAATAATTATGAACACACCTTGTGCATATTAATCTTGATGATATTTAGAACAGTTGATTTTTGTATACGTATTTAACAATGCCAAGAAAAAGCAAAATATATTGAATACTGTGCTGATCAAACGACTACAGAAAGGGTATATTTTTTCAATCTTATCTATAAAAACTTAAACAAATATATAATAGCGTTTTATTTGTAATAAGTCAGAAGCATTTTGATCAGCCTTTAACAGTTGAACTGGCATCATTTTTTTCAAGGCCTGCGCCTGTTGAGTTATACTAATCACTTGCTTTCCTCTAACTTTGTCTTAAATGGCGTACTTCAAACCGCAACATAATCCAATTTTTTTTGTTGCTATAAATTTCCTATAAAATATTTGCGCTGTAGCCTGAATAACCCCGTTTTTAATTTAATTATTAAATAAAAAAAATTTGATTTATATAACACAAATATTTTCTGAACCTGGCTAGATATAAATTTACTTTCTGATAGTAACTCTGAATGATGGTGACCGAAATAACTTCAAAATAAGGGTATCATTAGGACTGATGGCCTGTAAAATATTAAATTTTTGCCTTTAACGATATTATTTGTTTGGAAAATATTGGTACTACTCTTTGCACTGGTTGGTTTTAATAATTTGTTTGTGAAATACATTGAATATTTTTCTGGTTACAACATGTCTTGAGTCGAGAATCGTTGCTCTAATATATGCAGCTTCTGCAAACATTTTGTTTTTAAAGCGGAGATAAGTCCTTTGACTTATTGGATGTTACTTAAAAAAAGCAGTATCATTCACAATAGAGCCTTGACAATCAAATATGCAAGAGGTAATTGATGTTGAAAATATGGTCTTGAATATTGTGTTGTATATCAAGTGCAGAATTATAAATAATAATTGTGTTTGTAAAATCAAATAATTTTGCACATGCAACGATGCACAGACATCTTGAATACCCCTTCTGTGTGTTTTGTTGACATATCAAAACAAAACTGACACAAACGTTTTGTAGAATATTGGCAGCACTGTTCTCTTTCATTCCGCGCCATTTAAAATTTTGCATTAACAGTAGTTGGCATAAGTTTTTCTGCAACAAAAATAAACGGCCGGAAAAATATTAAATTATGTCGGATTCAGAATTCGAAGGTAAGTTGAGAACTTAAATCATCATGCAAATAAAAAATCATTCCGCAAATTACTTTAACAGCGAGCGAATTGATGTCATCGCCAACCTCGTATAACAGTGGTGAGGAAACAGATTCTTCGGGTAAATATATATATTTATATATATATACAACAATAAATAATAATAAATTGATATCCTCCCTAACATATAAATTTGTAATATAGTTGAAATCGCTATGACACGAAGAAACATTGTTCGTATTGAATCATCGGAGGAAGAAGATGAGGATGTTCGTGCTGTGTCTCCACGTACACGCATGAGTATAACTGGTATTCGACCTGCTGATTTAAATGATTCCAGTGAACTTGAATATTCAGATGAAGAAAGTGAAAAGGAACTTGTAATAACACCGCCTGCGCGGATAGGTATTCCTGATATATGCTCCGCTGAATTGTCTAATTCAAACGAGATTATTTACTCTGATGATGATAATAGCGTCGTTGATAACTCGAGTAGGCTTAATGAAGTAACAATTGAAAACTCATTGTTGGAAAAATCCACAACAAACAAAGCTACTGGTAAATATGAAGTAGTTGTGAAATTTCAAATTCATAAATTTATTTAGAGGTTTCAAATCCTGAGGTAACTATTTATTCTAATAATGAAAGTACGGATGAAGTCATTCCTGACAGTCCGACGACACTTCGACAGCATTTAAGTCAAACTAAATCTTCAATAACTGCATCACCAAATGCTTATGTAGTGGAAGCTAATACCCAAAGTAGTAAGTGGAATGAATGTTTTCGTTATTTACAAATTTACAATATAATTTCACTTTATTAATTATAAATTTAGATAAAGATGGAATTGAAACTGTAACCAAAACTGTAAAAGGTAATGAGTCACCAGTGCGTTATAGTACACTTTTTGACAACATGTCAAATAAATTATCTTCAACTCTGTACATACCAAATGCAGAGGATCATAAATCTGCATCGCTCCACTCAGATGATAGTGACTTATTATTTATAAATAATAAAAATAAAACGATTGAAATATTAAGTAGCGACGAAGAAGAACAAATGGTGCATAAACGAGTAGAGCCGGATACTGTAAAAGAAAAGCCAGTACAATTGCTTCAACCAAAAATTTCAGCAGCATTTACAAAGGCAGCTCAAACGCCAAAAAAGGAGTTGAAAATTAAAAGCAGTAAAATTGAGAACACTTTGCCAGTGTCAATGGAATTCTTTAACAAAGAAAATGCCAAAGTACAAGAACTGCGTTCTGAACTATCGAAAGTTGAGAAGCTAGTTGAAACAACATCTGCACTGTTACCTGATGGTGGAGCCCAACTAATTAAACGTAGAGATTCTTTACGACAAAATTTGTTCGATAAAGAAAAAATGTTGAAAACTTATCGAATTGAAGATGCAGATGATTTACCTAAAGAAAAAATTTGGGAAGAAAAGAAACGTTCGTTCACTAAACACGTGCCAAATTGGGATGAACTTTCAGCTGCTGTTAGTGCATTACAGCCTACATACACAGGCAAGCAAGGACTGGCCACATTTAATACTCAAAAAACATTAACTGTTGACCGTTTAAAGGTAAATTTAATAAAAGTTTTTGCTCTTAAGATATTTATTGAAAATACTATGAAAATATTTAGTAAGAAAGCTCAAACTACTGCATAATCTTGTTCAAAATCAGATATAAACTTGACATAACAAGACTGCTTAATATTTAATAGACATGTACATACATTTTATATTATATCGCAAATATATTTTATTTTATATTGTTAGATTAATGTTTGCAGAGAATGTATATTGTATATATATTCTGTATATATTCGGTATATATTCTGTATATATTCTGTATATATTCTGTATATATTCTGTATATATTCTGTATATATTCTGTATATATTCTGTATATATTCTGTATATATTTTGTATATATTCTGTATATATTCTGTATATATTCTGTATATATTCTGTATATATTCTGTATATATTCTGTATATATTCTGTATATATTCTGTATATATTCTGTATATATTCTGTATATATTCTGTATATTGTATATATATATATATGTGTAATTATGTATTATAATATGCAGCATATGCTTATATGAATTTAGTGTAAAACAAAATGTTAAAATCAATACTAAAGAAGTACGTCAGTTGTGTAAAAATAATAAAATATTTACCATTTAATAAGTGACATTGGTATAAAATAGCTTCAAAACACCCTGAAACTACCTTGCTTATGCTAGCTACGAACAGATTACATGCTAGTAATATAAACAAAATGTCTTCATTTTAACAATATAAAATTAATAAGTATCCTTACAATTAGAAATGGATCGACTATCATCGAATACACCGCCATACAAATGTATGGCTTCCTCTTCTCTTTTTTGTTTCATTAACTCCTAGTGCAGCATAGGGCAGTTGTTGATAATATTTTCATTAAACAGTACATATACGTATTCCTGATATAATACGCATATATTTACATTTAAAGATGTCTTCAAATCTCTTCAAATTCGGATTCTCTCTTAATCCGAATAAAATGAGAAAATCCAAAACATTCATAATGTGCCTTGTAGTTTGGATCGATCACTGATTTGTTAATCCAGTTCACGTGTTATAACATGTCTTCTCAATAGTGTAGTGAAGTAAATTACATTTATGGGTTATGTACATACACTTATGTAAGGTTTATTGGCTTATAAGTTTTGTTTGCTATTTACTTATACACTTTCTCATGTGTCATGTGAATGTGTCATTCAAATCATGCATTAATTTAATGAGTAGTGAACTTTTGTTTAGTTTTTATTAAATTTGTGTTGTTAATAAATAAACATATTTAAGACTTTTCCTGTATTTTTAATATAATACCCACAATTCAAATGTCTCACTTGTCAGGTTTGGTCCCAATTGCAATGGATCCGGACTTGTGAAGTGTACGTAGGAGAAATTTCAATTAAAACTACTGATTTTTCAGAAACGTAAAACTGATTTAAGTAGAAAACTCAAAAAATAATTATAAAAATAATATAATATTAGTTTAATACCAAATAGGTTTAACACTATTGCATGAACCCATACAAAAAAAGAATATAGATGAATTAAGGTTAGGGGATTCAAAAACGGCCGGAGTCACTTGTCAACAGTGTCGACCAAATGGCGTTCAAAACACCCAATAGGATTTTACAAGCAGATCCAACAGTATACAACAACAACAACAGCAACAACAACAATTGATGTTAGGACCCCTTACATGAACCCAAACAAAAGATGGCAATGTAGAATGCATTAATTCTAGATAAATCAATTGAGATATAAAATTTTTTAAAGCATTTAAAAATGCGTTTAGGTCCTTTCTGATATATGTTATATTATATATTATTTTATATACAAAGCATATTATTTTATTATATAATTCATAAATTGTATTAAAATTGATTGTTTTAAACAATTTGAATCTTAACAATTTGTTTCTAGGACTTGCATGGGTCACTTGAAAGTTGTCCTACAGAAGATGTGTTCGCAGATACACCCAAAGGCCTAAAGGTTACTCTGATGGATCATCAAAGGCATGCATTAGCCTGGATAAATTGGCGTGAAAATCAAAAACCACGTGGTGGTATACTTGCAGATGATATGGGTTTAGGAAAAACTTTGACTATGATATCAATGATAGTTTCTGCTAAAGCAAGAGAAGAACAGAACCCAGAAAAAGTAGAAGAAGATTCTGAAAGCGATGATGACAAAAAAAATCAAGTTTGGTCGACAAAAGGACGACGAACATGTAAAATAATCTTTAACTAAAACTGATAGATTTTTGTAAATTTTTGTATATTTTAGATTATGAAGGTGGCACACTTGTGGTCTGTCCAGCTAGTTTGATCCGTCAATGGGAGAGTGAGATTGAGAATAAAGTAATGCGTAATAAATTAACTGTTTGCTTACATCATGGTAACAATCGCGATACCAAACCTAAACATTTACGCACATATGATGTGGTTATCACCACTTACAATATTGTTGCGCGTGAACATAAATCGTCGGGTGCAGTCTTTGGTATAAAGTGGCGCTGCATCATATTAGATGAAGCACATGTAATAAGAAATCACAAAGCACAATCATCCTTAGCTGTTTGTGCATTGCGTGCAAAATATCGTTGGACCTTAACTGGTACCCCAATACAGAATAAAGAAATGGATGCCTACGCGCTACTAAAGTTTTTACGTTGCTCACCATTTGACGATCTTGCACATTGGAAAAGGTGGGTAGATAATAAAAGTGCAGGCGGGCAACAAAGGCTCAATACACTAATGAGAACATTGCTATTACGACGTACCAAAGTGCAACTACAAGAACGCGGTATTCTGCAGTGTTTACCAAATAAAAAAGTTGAATTGGTTGAAGTAAATTTAGATAAAGAGGAAATGAATGTTTATCAACGTATTTTGGTTTATTCTCGCAGTCTTTTTGCTCAATTCCTTCATCAACGTGCAGAGCGCGATACTGACTATAATTACAGAGAAGAAGCAAACAAACCTACTTATTTGCAAACAAAAAATCCGAGCGACGCTTACTATAATCTTCATAAAAAATTTACTAAAATGAATCATGGTAATAAGGAAGTGAAATCACACGATATTTTGGTGTTACTGTTGAGGTTGCGGCAAATATGTTGTCATCCAGGTTTAATTGATGCAGTAAGTAGAGAAGTAAAATGACTTTTAATTGAATTAAATTATATATAACTTAATTACAGATGCTTGAAGATGAAGATGAAGCAAATTTGTCCAGTGATCACGATGTTTCCCACCGTGAAATTGATTTATTGGACCAATTAAATAAATTAAAAATAACGAATACTTCGAAAAATAGTAGTCTTCAAGATGATGAGTTGCGTCCAGAAGATGAAGTTATTGCTAAAGCATCTGCAAAAGTACTTCAACGGAGCAATCCAGTATTTAATTTAAAACGGCCTTCAACAAAGATGCTGCAAGTGTTAAAAACTTTGAAAAACTGTCTTTCGCAATCTGATGATAAAGTAATAATTGTGTCCCAATGGAGTAGTGTATTAAATATTTTTAAGAGTCACTTATGTGACGCTGGAATTACGCCACTTGCATTGGATGGGCAAGTACCAGTGAAGGATCGTCAAGGCATAGTGGATAAATTCAATAACTCAAAAAATTATAGAGTTCTGCTGCTCTCACTAACTGCTGGCGGAGTTGGCTTGAATTTGATTGGTGCTAACCATTTGTTTTTATTTGATCTTCACTGGAACCCGCAGTTGGAGGCACAGGCACAAGATCGTATATATAGAGTGGGACAGAAAAAAAATGTTAATATTTACAAGTTTATGTGCAAGGATACAGTCGAAGAAAGAATAAAAAACCTGCAAGAACAAAAACTATCAATTGCGGAGGGTGTGCTTACTGGTGTAAAGACAAGCGGTGGCAGTAAGCTTACGATGGAGGAACTACGCGGGCTCTTCGACATGTAGTCATTTGTACTTTTTAATATTTTATTTTTTTTAATATTTTATTTTTTTTAATATTTTATTTTTTTTAATATTTTATTTTTTTTAATGTTTTATTTTTTTAATATTTTATTTTTTTTATATTTTTTATGTTTAATTATCGATTTCTTACACAAATATTTAACATTTTTATAGTTGATATTTTTTTTTTTGTAATTTTATACATTCAACTTTTTTGTTGCTTCCTAAATTTTTTTATATTTCAAATGAAGCATCTAATTATATCCGTTCCAGTCAATCTGTGTAACAGATTTGAACTATTGAGTGCAGATTAACAATTTTAATTTGATGAAAAAAAAAACTGTAATTATAGATTATTATTTAATTTCTATATAAATAATTACTTTAAAATATATTATATTCTATTCTATAACATTATATTCTATATGTTATTTGTATATAAATAAAATAAATTATAAATAAAATAAATTATAAATGAAATTGCACCAAGCAACAACAATATTGTAATTTTAAGAGCTTGTCTTTTTAGAAAAAATGGAAAGGTTCTAAATAAAAATTTACCTAGTCTTAAATTACAAAATCTAACAGTAAAATCTATAGATGTTTTCCGAATAAAACAAGCAGAGTGCGTTGAGTGCTAACGAGCAGATAACATGGAAGGAATTACGAAGGCATATATATGACTTAGAATTTTGGGGTCATAAGTGTAGTGGGCGAGGAGAGATTATTATTTAGGAGTGAGAATGGATTAGGGATGGGTGGGATTTAAATTGAAGTCAACCAGAATCACGGCGGAGAAACCTAGCAACTTAATTAGGCATGTCCAAAGGTTAGTTGGATACAACTCAGTGTGTACATTGGTACATGAAAAGAGATGGACGACATATTGAAATAATAAATCGCTATAATAGTGTTTATCATGTTAGTGGATAAGGCCTTATAAATTATTATAGATATACAGGCTGCCACATTTACTGACCATAACACTGCGTTCATTGTTGGACTATAGCATCATGTCTTTCCTGTAGTCTCTAAAGGATTTCTATCACTTCGGTTATATACAAAATAATCTTAAGTTTTGTGGAAATCTCTTACGATAAGAAACTTCTAGGTACACAAATTTTTTAATTGAATTGATTGGGTCAGTTTGCATTTTTCTGGTTGTAACGAGAATGCTTTACGTTGTTCGGATATTTAAATACTTCAGGTATGTGTGTGTTAGGTTATCTTTAGATTCAACTCTTCCGACACAACATAATTCAGTGTTATATAAGATTATGAATGTTATATGTAAGAACTGGATCTCTTTTTTGTTTGCTTACTTGGTGTCAGTTATAGATTGGCAATGATAGTATCTATTATAACGGTGGGAAGGTGATATTTATTATAACGGTGGCAATAAATTTACGGATTATTTCATAAAAGTGGTATGCCAATATCTGAGAAATGAATGTCAGGGAGAGAACGCCTGCCTTAGCAAGCTCATCTGCACAGTAATTGCCCAAGACAACACTATGACCAGGAACCCAAATGAGATTTAAGTTTAAAGTTATAATTGATGTGACAGCAGATTGATAAATTTTCATCGGAGATTTGATTGCCAAGAACGCATAGTACTGTACTGATTTGGTAGTCGAAGCTAAGAACTAAGATCCAATTTTTTAGAGATTATGCCACAGTCGACTCGTTCGTCTATTTAGGAGCGGTCTGTATAAAAATCTACCATGTTGTGGCGCATTTAGGTGCTGCCGTAAGTAACAGTCAGCTACTTCAATTAAGGCGGAACCTGTGGCTCTAAGGACAAGGAGGAAATTATTTAATCTAATGCGTTAGTGCTCAACTTTTGCTAGAAGAAAATCAAAAATCATTGGGGCTCCTTTTCTTTCCGATCTGACTGAGCTGTCATCCTGCAATATTACGAATTTGTAGAAATGTCAGGTTGGTGTACCTTTACTTAATGGGAGAGTCGTTGCCTTTTTCGGCGTATGTTGTATAATCAGCTTCTAATCTATGTACCAACCAACGCTTTTGTTGTGGTACCACGACGGGTCATTATATGAGCTCAAGTGGGCTTTCTTGGTATACAAGATCGCCACTCAAACCTTACTTAACCAAACTTAACTTAAAATTAAATAAAAAACTTAAAATTTCGTCCTGTTTATTTGACGAGGTTAATCTTGTGGTCTGACAAGAAAGTTTATATACCCAGGATTTTCTATAAATCCCAGGGAATTTAGTTAATTTTTATAAAGTCTTGTGAACACTTTGTAGTTAGAGGTACAGGATTAAAATTTGAACTATACTCTTTTTTTATTTATTAATATATAACCAATTATGTGGACATAGATTAGTGATTATGAAGGCTAAGATTAAACTAGGATCGTTGCACCATTGATTTTTTGCCTTTCTTTTTCTTTCTTTTTATTAATGCAACTAGTAAATATACTTAAGACTAACAAGCATTTTTAGTTTAATAAATTATAAATATTTACGCTAAGGTTTTATTACTTAGTGAGGTCAGAAGGTTTATACGTTTTAATCACCGTGCTGAGTCAGTTGCGTTGACTAATTGTAAAACTTCTGAATTTTTGTGTTGTGTAATTTTCGTTACGTGAGCAACAGCATACAACAGTTTTTATGACGTCCTCGACGGGTTTGATTGCTAGGTCACGATGTAGGTCTGCACTACGAATGTACCAGGGCGCATTTACAATATTTCTAAGTACTTTGTTTTAGAAACGCTGTATTATCATAACATTGCTCTTACTGGTGTATCCCCATAACTGTATACCGTAAGTCCATACAGGCTTTAAAATTTGATTGTAAATCAGGAGTTTATTTTATCTGCTTATACTCAAGTTCTTGTTTTTTCTTTTTCACATGCTCTTTCCAACGTAGTTTAGCGTCTAATGTCATGCATTAGTATTTTGCTGTATACGCATAGGATATTTCCAGTCCATTTATATTTAATTTGCAGTGGGAGACCCTTTTATTCGTAAAGCCAACATATACCGATTTTGTATTGTTAAACTTAAGTCGCCATTGTTTCGTCCACTCATGAACATTATTAATAGCTAGCTGGAGAGTTTTAGTTGAGTTAATTTCATTAGAACCAATTCAAAATTAGAGCTGTATTTCATAGCATTATCCTTATAGCTTTAACATTATCCTTATAGTTTTTTACAGAGCATTTCTAGGTTGCGCCATTGATGATATTAATATTAATGATTATGACTTATTATTATTTTTTAAACATTTAATTTGTTGTCTACAAACTAAACATATTGTTTATAACAATATTACTTTCCGTGGAATAATAGGTTCCGGAGATAGTGTAAGATTTGGTAAGATGGAATCAAGTGCCGCATCGTTCCCTGATATTTCATTGAATAAAATAAAAGTCAATTTATTTTACTATTTTTATACGATTTTAAAACTTTATTTTGTCAAGATTGAAAATAAACAATATAATATTTATAATTTTAGTTTGTGTTTGGTTTTGGTTTTTGTCAAATTTTACATAATGTTCAATAAAATAATTTATATATTACGATTAAAAATTTTATTACCTTACTTTTTGGTTTTATAATTAATTTTTAATATTAGTTTTCATTTTATGTTTTGGTTTTTGCATAAATATTGTTATATATATATATATATATATTCATATATACATATATATATATATATATGTATATTTTACCAAATATTTAATTTTGTTTACTTACAATTTTTATTTAAATTTTCATTTCGTATTTTGCTAGAATAAAATTTAAAAATAAATTATTTAAACTATAATAAAGTCCAGTTTTAATTAAAGTCCTTTGAAGGCCTGATAAAATTTTCGAAACTCCAGAATTTTATTAACTTTTCATTGAAACGTAAATTCGGTAATTATGAAATAATATTGAAAATAGCCATTTTATTAAATCTTAAGCTTTAATATTCAATTAATTTTAAGAAATTATATACCATATATATTGAAATGATAGTAAAAATTAAATTTGGTTTTTACAGTGACTGTTTTTGCCAGTGTTAGTAAAAAGTTTTTATTTTGGTTTTTGCTTAAACTCGTATAATTTATTTTTTGAAATGTTTTTCTTTAATACAATTTGACAAATCATTTTTAGTTGTTTATGCCTTATATTTTATACTTTACTTTGGGGAAATAGGGGATTATGTTTTTATTATGTTTTCATATGTGTGTGTAGTATTTCTTGACTATTGTTATTTTATGTAAATACTGTTTTTACTTTTATCTTATTTTATTACTTGTTTTATATAAGTTAATTATATAAGTGTTTATTTTAAGTTCGCTTTAATAAATTAAAACGGTTTTTTAATTTCATGTAGTTTATTTATATAGTTTTTGTTTATATGTTTAAAATAATATAAAAATTATATATTAATAATAAAAATTATATTAAATTAAGTTATAATTTATATGGAATATATTTTTGAATATTTAATTTTTCATTGAATTCTTTTAAGATACAAGTATATATAAATTGCTTAATTAACCTTTAAATAGTTTCTTTTTAATAATTTGAAATAATAATTACATTTCGATAACTTTGAAAAATTTTTGGAAATTTCGAAAATATTTTATTTCCAGGGTTTGTTTATTTTCTCTTTTGCTGCAGTTTAGTTTAAGATAATATTTTATTAATCAATAACATTTAGAAAATCATAGATAATTGTACAACTAAGGGTGTGTATAATATTCATAAAAAAATGTTAAAATTTATTTTGTTGTTTTTTTTTAATTTTAAATTACATTAAATTATTATTTGACATGTTTGTTTTTAGATAAACGTTGAATTATTTTTTTTTTCGCCATAAATTTTTTTGAGTTTATAAATTTTGAGAACTCAAATATTATTTGCCAAAGTCAAAGAGTAGATGTTACATTCATTAAAATGTAAATTTAATAATATTTATTACTTTGAAATATTTTGATAAATGTGAAATAAGTGGACAATATTATTTCTAGAAAGCGGTCTC